AGTCCAGGCTTTGCTTATGATTCCAGTTCCCCGCTACTTGTGCACCCACATGGAAGACCCAAATAGAGTTCTCGGTCCTGGCTTCGACCCTGCCCAGTCCCAGCTGTTGCACGCATTTGGGGAGTAAACCAATGGATGGGGCCTGGCAGCATGGTATAGTGGGTTAAGCTGCTGCCTGTAGTGCCAGCATCCCATATGGGCACCAGTTCAAGTCCCAGCTGCTCCACTTCCTAGTCTGGTTCCCTGCTAATGCGCCTGGGAAAGCAGCAGAAAATGACCCAAGCGCTTGGGCCCCTGCCACCCATGTGAGAGACCTGGATGGAGCTCCTGGCTCCTGGCTCCTGGCTTCAGGCTGGCCCAGCCCTGGCTGTTGGGGCCATCTGGGGGAGTGAGCCAGAGGAACGAAGACCTCTCTCTCTCTCTCCCTCTCTCCCTCGGTAACTCTGCCTTTTATATAAATAAAATAAATCTTAAAACAAGATAGGACCATGTGCTCTCTTTCTGCCTCTCTAATAGATTAAACAGAAACAAATAAACCAGAGCCTATTGTGTGTTCCAATCAGCAGTTGCCAGTTATCCGGCCATTCCACAAATCCCATCATCTCGTTTTGTGGTATATGGGTTTTTTTATTTTTTTTTTTGACAGTCAGACAGAGTGGACAGTGAGAGAGAGAGACAGAGAGAAAGATCTTCCTTTTGCCGTTGGTTCACCCTCCAATGGCTGCCGCGGCCGGCGTGCTGCGGCCGGCGCACCACGCTTGATCCAAAGCCAGGAGCCAGGTGCTTATCCTGGTCTCCCATGTGGGTGCAGGGCCCAAGCACCTGGGCCATCCTCCACTGCACTCCCTGGCCACAGCAGAGAGCTGGCCTGGAAGAGGGGCAACCGGGACAGAATCCGGCGCCCCGACCGGGACTAGAACCCGGTGTGCCGGCCCCACAAGGCAGAGGATTAGCCTAGTGAGCCGCGGCGCCGGCTGAATCCCATCATCTTTAGCTTCATTGCCGAGATGATGCGGTGAGTGGTTCCCCTCGGGCCCCTGCACACAGAGCTGGAATGAGAGACCACTGAGCTCCCTCAGAGCCTGCTTGGCATTTCCAGCTGGCCTCCTGTGTGTAATTCCGGGAAGGAACAGTCAGCTGTCACACCCCGGACAGCCAGGTGGCCAGTCTTACTGACAGTGAAGCAGGATGCCTTGGAATCGGTTCAGCACCCTGAACTCATCCCAGCACTGAAAAATAAATGAACCAAACCTTTGTTCTCAGGAGATACCTTGGAAAAGTTCGTGCAAAACGGAATCAGGAGATGAGCTTTGGTATTCATGCAGGGTTTTCCTTCTGTGAGCTTTGGGAAGAACCGCCTGGTCTTCACGGATTTCAACACCGCAGTCCAGAATGAACTTCCGGTTCCCACAGAGGCTTCGAGGTCCCCTTGAAGGTGTGAGAGCTGTAAGTGTCGTTTGTCACTTTGATTCTGAAGCAAGGCACCGCAGAGTCCCCATGCCTCGCAGAAACAGGGGAGAACTCTGTCATCCAAGTTCCAGCTGTTGGAGGGGCTCTTGGAACCAACAGCACTTGGGGTGCAGAGTGGGAATATTACTCTCTCTCTCTCTCTCTCTCTCTCTCTCTCTCCAAGCTTGCCTGCACGTACTCCCCTCCCCCAGAGAGAGCTGAGAACAGGTCCTGGGGAGGAAGTGCACACATTGGTTTAAAAACAACAACAACGAAAACTTGGGTGGGTGGTTTCTCTGAATCTCTCCCTTCTCTTTTTGGCCCAAAATTGAGCCTTGGAAACCTGATGCTGGAGCCCCAAATTGTGTGCTATCGTGATTAGCATTTTCTTATGCATTTAAGATTAGCTCACAGGGGAAAAAAAAAAAAACTGCAAGTAAAACACTGGGCCAGAAAAGAGACCATCAGTGACAGCAAAGAAATTCCTAAGAATTCCTGGACGGAATGTACTTCCTCCCAGCCTGGATTGGAGCCTCCTGGACTGGTTTCCAGCTGGAGTCGGTTCCTGGAAGGCTTCGCTGCTGGGCTCCCTCCCCTGGCTGTCATAGGGCGGGGCATCAGCACATCTTGATGGCCAATCACATTGCAAAGATGCCCAACACCCCCAGGAGGTGCTGGCGTCCATGTGCAGTGACTGCTTCTCAGAACGGTGCTGCCCGTGATGGCCGGACTGTGAGTGTGCATAGCAAGGGGCTGACGGCATGCCCTTTGGGGTCCCACCATGGTGCCTGATGACACAGCGGATGTCAACATGCAAAGTTTGCACAAGTGGTCACAAGCACTCTGGCTGATTCCTGTAAGGGAACCAAGGTTGGGCAACTTCTCAGGAGGTCCAGCAAATTCCTGGAAGGCTGTCTCCATTTTTCTTTGTGTCTATCTTTTTTATTAAGATTTTATTTATTTATTTGAGAGGTAGAGTTATGGACAGAGAGATGGAGACACAGAGAGATAGGTCGTCTATCTGCTGGTCCACTCTCCAAATGGCCACAATGGCTGGAGCTGCGCCAATCCGAAGCCTGGAGCCAGGAGCTTCTTCCAGGTCTCCCATGCAGGTGCAGGGGCCCAAGGACTTGGGCCATGAACCACTGCTCTCCCAGGACATAGTAGAGAGCTGGAGCAGCTGGGACTCAAACCCGCACCCATATGGGATGCTGGCACGGTAGGTGGTGGCTTAACCTACTGCACCACAGCGCTGGCCCCAGTCTGTCTTTTTTTAACCAGGTCTCAAGGCAAATGCAAGGTGCGCAGTGACGATGGGAGGATGAGACTCTAGCGGTGGCCATGGGACCTCTGGCAGACCCATCTATCCCTCATCTGTGACAAAGCCTACCTGTGACAAAGGCCTCCTGTCCATTCCGTTCTGTGGGGCACTCTTGACCACCTCCCAGAGCCAAGGGACAGTGAGGGCAGGCAAGAGGTGGCATTGGGATGCAAGAATTCAGTCTGACTACATGCAAGCCTGGCAGTGCCACTGCCCATCTTCTCGGGAGGTGAGGAGTGGATTCCCTTGGAACCCACTGGGCCTTCCTTGCCCCCTGTAAGGTCCTTGCCTCTGTCTCAGGCTGCAGTCCTCAGCCTCCCAAGTGGACAGTGAAGCAAGTGTGTGGTCGCAGCTCTCGGCCTTGAACTTGACCTGGCTGCTCTCGCTCATGACTGCTCCCTCGGCCATCACCAGCACTGACCAGAGCTCCAATTTGTTTATTTTTATTCCCAAGGCAGAGACAGAGAGAGAGAGAGAGAGAGAGAGAGAGAGAGAGAATCTCATCTGCTGGTTCACTCCCCAAATGCCCACAGCAGCCACGGCTGGGCCAGGCTGAAGCCAGGAGCCCAGAGCTCTATCCAGGTCTCCCATGAGGTGGCAGGGGCCCAAGCAATTTGGCTGCCCTCTGCTTTGTGCATTAGCAGGGAGCTGGAATCAGCTGAGCGGAGACCTGAACCCAAGCACTCCAGTATGAGACGTGAGCATCCCTAGTTGGGGTCTTAACCTCTGTACCAAATGCTGCTCCAGCCAATTTATTTAAAAGCCATGGTTTTCTCCAAGTGATAGAGACCACACAGATTTATCACAAAAAGCATCCAAAGTTTAAGAGCAGGTCTCATTTTCTTTAATGTTTTATTGATTGGCTTATTTGTTTGAAAGGCAGAGAGGGAGGGAAGCAGACAGAAAGAGAGAGAGAGAGAGAGAGAGAGATCTTCCATTGGTTGGTTCATTCTCCAAAAGCCCCAACAGCCAGACCAAAGCCAGGAGCCCAGAACTCCATCCAGGTCTCCCACGTGGGTGGCAGGGACCCACGACCTTGAGCCATCACCCGCTGCCTCCCAGGGTGTGTATTAACAGCAAGCTAGGGCAGAAGTGGAGCCTGGCCTTGCACCAGGCACTCTGATACAGACACAGCATCCCAAGCAGTGAATTAACCCCTGTGCCAAAAGCCCGCCCAGGTCTGATATTTGCTGGGCCCGATCTGGCTGTGAAATTAGCACCCAGGCTGTGGAGGGGCCCAGGCCAGTGAGGAGGCCCCGGTGGCCCTCCCTTGCCCAGGTCTGATGCTGTGACATGACATCTGTCAGGGTGACCTCTCTCCAGCAGTGCTGCAGCGCTGGCTTCCAGTACCAGCTGCGACTTTGTCCCCTGTACTGCAATCCTGAGCGGTGTCACCTGCCCCTCCGTGGTTCTCTCTGTGCTTGCTTGGCTGCCCTGGTGCGTTGCGAGGGTGCCAAGCGCTAGTGTGTTTGGCGTGCGCACAGAGCAGAGTTGCACATAGCAGAGTTTAGGCCTAGCCACTGACCCGACTCCCACGTAACAGCTCACACTAGGAGGTGGTGAATGCCATGAATCTACTGTACAGGAAGGTGAGTTAGCTACTAACGTGCCAAATGACACTAGGCAAGAGCGTGGAAGTGTACACTCTGGGGTGTGCAAACGCAGACCAAGATAGGGGCAGAACCGCACGCCTTCTTCATCACTGGCCCCCCGTTATTTTCCGACCCCGGCATAGCAGGGGCACCTGGCAACACTGGCCCTTCAGAGGCTGGGAGCAGAGTCTGCTTTTTCAAGACTGATTTAATTACTTCAAAGGCAGAGTGACAGAGAAAGAGACAGAAAGAGACAGAGAGAGAGAAAGAGAAATCTCCCATCTGCTGGTTCACTCCCTAAATGACCACAACAGCCAGGGCTGGACCAGGCCGAAGCCAGGAGTCAGGAGCTCCATCCGGGTCTCCTGCATGGGCAGCAGAGGCCTTGGGACTTGGGCCATCTTCCACTGCTTTCCCAGGTGCATCAGCAGGGAGCTGTTCGGAAGTGGAGCAGCTGGGACTCGAACCAACTCCTGTGTGGGATGCCGGTGCTGCACGCAGTGGCCTAACTTACTGCACCACAGCGCCAACCCCCCCAGCTATATTTTTTTTGCCTTCTTGTGAAACATGGTCCCCCCCATCCTGTATCCGAACCCCTATAACCCATTCGCAGCTGAGAACCACACTCTGAACAGCCATTAAGAGAAAATACTGAATTTATTCAGTAGATTTGAGCAGTCACATTGGACCAAAGCGTTGGGTTTCATTTGCCTGTCGTAAATATGTCCCTTCAACAGGAATGCTCATGGGCTTTTACAAAGTTAAATATATATCTGTATATCTCTATCTATGTGTATACATAAGAAGGATCCACAAAGGCATTTGACATAACACATACACAGTATGCCATTTTAATATGCAAACGCAGAATAGAAGGTAGTCCTAAAAGGATAAAAGTGGCATCGACCAAAAATTTTACCAAAGTTTCCATTCTCTCCGAAGTCACAATCTCATCCTTTGGGATGTACAGAAATTATGTGGTTTACACAGTTCTAGCCACATTCAAAACGTCACACGTTTCAAATGTGTTCAGCATAGCATGTACGAAGTGTTTCCATAGGAACACAAACCATCACTAGTGGCCGGCTGTCCAGTGGCTCTGAACTCACCAGACAGCCATGTGGGAGACACTAGTAGAGCTTATTGCAACCGTATTCCAGCTGTCCCGTTCACCTGCAATATATGAATTCAACCCATAAAGGCCCCGAGATTACCTTAGTTTTAGTATACGTGCTGCCGAAGCGAGCACCAAGAGTTATCGTGGAATATACACAAACAGTCTGAGTCCGGGGAAGACCTCATAGTTAGGTGAGAATCGAGGACAGCAGCCGTAAGAAAGAGGATTATCCCTGGGATGGGCGGTTTTCACATGTCCTAGCAAAGTGCACAGTGAGTGGAACGCTGTTGGCAGCCACCATCCTTGTGGGAACTTGGCAAACGCCTCCCACTCAGGAGTCCCAGCACCTGAGAAATGAGAACCTTTAGACCCGGCACACGCGGAAGGAGCCTCTGTCACACGTCCGCTGAGTTCAGAGGTCACGCCCATGGGCAACCACGTTCTCACGCCGTGGGAGCCCACGCTGGCCCTGGGATGCCGCACAGCACGAGGCAGCGCTGTCCGCGTGAGGTCAGCAGCACCAGCATCCGGGGGACTGCTGCTGTCCCGACCGACAGCACACACCGGCACCCGTCAGCCATATTCCAGCATGGGTGGGCCCCGCACAAGGTTGAAATAGCCGGCCAGGGCGCCCAGGTCGATGTACAGGGAGCGCTGTCTCCTGAGCATCTCCGCCGACTCCTCGGTACTCCCCACGCAGGAAGAGTCTGCAACGCAAACGTGGGAAATGTCAGAGAAACAGCAGGTCCCCCTCGGAGCCCTCCCCGAGGGGAGCCGGGCTTTATGCACGATCAGTCACTTGATGCTATGTTGACGGGCGAGGCTACAGATGCAAGAGTTCAACCAGGAGCCCTGGACGCCCCAAGCAACTACTTACAGATCCCAGTTCATTCTCCCTGGGCAAAACCCACAAGGCAGACAAGGATTCCCTGGGGCCTGACCTGTGTGTGAGTCTGGCCCTTGTGTGGATGAAGAATGCCAGGAATTTTTAAGAGAAAAGGAATCCCTGCTCCCGGATCCTGGAATGCACCCTCCTTGGCTGCCACAGAGGGTTTGGAACAGGAAGTGCAAAGTGACTTCAAGCTCAGTATTTTATGGACGGCCTGGGGGCCTGCCATTGCATCAGCAAAACCATGTGACTCCTTCTTAAACCCCAGTTATAGTCTCTGTTGCAACTTTTGTTATGTTCTTCTCAAAGAAGAACAACGCAGCCCTGGAGAAGCTGCTGGATTCCAAGGACCATCTGATGTGTACAGAAAAGGGCATTGCCCCCCCCCCCCGCCCCGCCCCAGCTCCCGCAGGGGTCCCCTACCCGTGATGCTCTCGGCCAGCTCCAGCTCCTTCCGGCTCAGCAGCCTCTTGCGCTCCAGCAGGGCCGAGTCGAGGCTCTGGCAGCGCGGCTGGTCCTCCCTGGGCGGGTTCAGAGCCTCGTGCTTTAGCAGGTCAGCGGCGTGTGGGCGGTGGGCCGGGTTCCTGGCCAGCGCAGCTTCCATCAGCTCCCTAAGGCCCGGGCTGCAGTCCTGGGTGATGTCTTCCAGGGGAGGCGCCTGCTTGTGGATCTGTCACAGAGCAGGGCTCTTAGCGCCCAGGGCGGGTAGGGAGGGCATGGATGCAGCCCTCTCCCCCGACACCAAATGCACTCTGGGACCAAGGCTTCCTACCACGTGGCCACAGCCAGCACCAGGATCCGTGGAAAAGTCCATGGGAAATGGGTCTTAAAAATAAAAGTATCCAAGGCTGACTCTGTGGCTCAGGGGGTTCGGGTCCTGGCTGCTCCACTGCCAATCCAGCTCCCTGCTAATGCACCTGGGAAAGCAGAGAAGGATGGCCCAAGTGCTTGGGCCCCTGCACCCACATGGGAGACCTGGATAGAGTTCCAGGCTCCTGGCTTCAGCCTGGCCCAGCTCTAGCTGTTGCAGCCATCTGAGGAGTGAACCAGCAGATGGAAGACCTCTCTCTCCCTGTCTCTGCCTTTCTCTCTGCAACTCTTCCTTTCAAATAAAATAAAATATTTAATATATATTTTTTTCAAGAATTTCAAAATGCATTACACCAAAATACATTTATGTTTTGCATGAATTCTTTGACATAGCCTGTGCATAGCCTTGTTAAATAAGCACCCCTTTAACCTCCTAAGGACACTGAGTTAGCTTCGTCTTTTTTTTTTTTTTTTTTTTTTTTTTGACAGGCAGAGTGGACAGTGAGAGAGAGAGACAGAGAGAAAGGTCTTCCTTTGCCGTTGGTTCACCCTCCAATGGCCGCCGCGGCCTGCGCGCTGCGGCCGGCGCACCGCGCTGATCCGATGGCAGGAGCCAGGAGCCAGGTGCTTTTCCTGGTCTCCCATGAGGTGCAGGGCCCAAGCACCTGGGCCATCCTCCACTGCACTCCCTGGCCACAGCAGAGGGCTGGCCTGGAAGAGGGGCAACCGGGACAGAATCCGGCGCCCCGACCGGGACTAGAACCCGGTGTGCCGGCGCCGCTAGGCGGAGGATTAGCCTAGTGAGCCGCGGCGCCGGCCAGCTTCGTCTTTGAACTCAGAACAGGGACAGGCAGTTTCACATCAGCAGCCCACAGGGGAAGTCTATTCCTGGATCCACAGAGTCTTCTCCAGGGGGAAATGGGATAGTACCTTCCTCCACCTGGCTGTCACAGACACCAGTGGTTTTTCCACTCATTATTATATAAAGTGTATTGATATATCTGACATATTGAAAACACAGAAATATTATAATATTAATATGTGGTAATACACTGTCATGTATTAATAATCTTATTGTATTTTACATATAAGATCAGTAATCAGATATATTCTACATTTTTATATATAACATACATAAAGTATATAACTATAAAATAGGAAATATGTAATGTAACTTTATAATAGTCATATTTAATAATATGATTATATATATTTTACACATGATCTTAGCCAAAAGGCTGGGAAGTGATATATATTTAAAGATTTCTTTATTTGAAAGGCAGAGTTACAGAGAGAGAGAGAGGGAGATCTTCCATTTGCTAGTTCACTCCCTAAATGGCCACATGACCAGGGCTGGGCCAGGAACCCGGAACACTCCATCCGAGTCTCCCACATGGGTGGCAAAGACCCAAGTCCTTGTGCCGCCACTGCTGCCCTCTAGGGTGTGCACTTAGCAGGAAGCTGGAATCGGAAGCAGAGCCGGGCCTCCATCCCAGGCACTCTGACACGTGCCGCTGTGCCAAACGCCCACCCCTCTATATGACCACTCGAGAGCTCAATGAACACGTGCACTCCTTAGCTGAAAGATGTACACTCCTCGGACACCCCTCGATGTAGCATTCCACACTTCCACATAGGACGGACTAGCACCTCACTTGGGCCCGAAACCCACCTCCCCAGGTTCCCGTGCAAACGGCCAGGCTGTCTTCCCCGCAGTGGAGCTTCCTCCCCGGTAGGAAGAACCTGTCGCCTCCTCTCGGGGTCCAGCCTCACCTAGGCAGGTGTGGCTGTTGTAGGAGGTAGGCGGCCCCTGCCCGCCCAGCCGGGCTGAGCCCCACTTACTATGTAGAGGTAGGAGGGGTAGGCCGAGCGGGGGTAGCGCTTCACCCAGGGTGGTGTGCCCGTCTGCATGTGGATAAGCGTGGCGCCCAGGCTGTAGATGTCCGCCTTGGTGGAGTGGCCCCTGCAAAGGATCACCTCCGGGCTCATGTAAATCTGGAAAGGAAAACGGTGACATCAGACTGGAATCTCGGGGCTGCCTGCCTCTTGGGGTCCCTAGCCAGGCTGCAGATCCTCGCCCATCCACCGTGTGGGCTACAGGAGGAAGCCATCGGTGTGCTCCCTTATTCTGCAGCCTGCCAGAGAGCCACAGCCTGGACACAAGGCTGGTCAGGCAGCCAAGGACCCGGAACCACAACCCACCCGAGATTCCTGCTCATCAGAGTTCCATAAAAGCCATGGGCTAGTAGTTAGGGAAACACCAATACCCCTTGTATTTAAATGACACTGTTAGGGTCTGGCTCTGTGGCTTGGCAGGTAAAACCACCACCTGCAGCACTGGTATCCCATATGGGAGCTGGTTTGAGTCCCAGCTGCTGCACTCCCAATCCAGCTCCCTGCTAATGCACCTGGGAAAGTAGCACAAAGCTACTGGCTCCTGGCTTTGGCCTGGCCCAGCCCTGGCCATTGCAGCCATCTGGGGAGTGAACCAGCAGATGCACGATCTCTCTCTCTCTCTCTCTCTCCCTCTCCCTCTCCCTCTCCTCTCTAACTCTGACTTTCAAATAAATAAATTTTTAAAAACAGAATGACACTGCAAATAGTACGACTTCTTCACCTATGAGTCACTTACTTGCCAAAGCTCTCATTCTGTGCAGTGACAAAAGGTGGCAGCAGTCTTGCTTGGAAAGGAAAAACTTACAAGGATAAAGAGAACTGGGGCAAAAGTGATGCGACTCAGTCACTTCTATGAGGTACCTCTTATTCTAGCTCCCCTGTGGCCCAGGGACTTAAATATTATATGCAAACCACGCAGAAGTTCTATTCATGCGTGGATGCCCAGTAAGTAGAGCGAGTGGGTTAAACAGCTTCTCTAAGGGTTCATTTATAAATTAAGAAAGATAGATAAAATAGAGCAAACACTGGGGACCAGTGGTCTAAGTACAGAGCATTCATTGGCTGGCTCGCACATACACACAGGGACTTCAAAAAGTTCATGGAAAATAACATTAAAAGCTTGTTTTGGTGAAAAAATATTTTTGAACTTCAGACATTGATTTTTTTTTCATAATATGCATTTTCATGATCTCTTAGAAGGCTGTGTGTATGTATTTCAAAAACTTTTTGCACCAAAATAAATCTTTCACTAATAAAAAAGATTATTTATTTGAAAGGCAGAGACAGACAGACACAGAGAGAGAGCAAAGATCTTCCACTGACTGGTTTACCTCTCTCCCCAAATGCTAGCAACCATTGGCACCAGGCCAGGCCAATGCCAGTGAAGTAGGCAGGCATACAGGCTAAAATTGATTAGATTGGTGAACTGAAGACCATGCCTTCACCACACCCCTGTGTGACCTCATTGGGGCACATGGCCCGAAGTCCATGTGCCCCAGCCTTCCTGGCCTAGATGCTCATCCATGTGGCTGGTTCCTGGTGCTCGGTATGAACCCCTATTCACCTCTCTCTCTTAAATAAAGCTCTCACTCTCCTATGCATCTTTCTCACTAAATAAAAGCTTAAAATGTACCATGCTGCCTCGTTTCTCTGTGCCGGTATTTAGAATTCTTCTCTAAATATTAGGCAAGAACCCTCTTGGGCTTATTAATATTGGGGATTTAGTAATAAGCTCGTGGTGAAATCATATGGCACCCCAAATTCCGGTAGCACATGTGGCACCCCAGATAGCACTTCTGGGAAACTTTAAAGGGCCATATTTTAGCATAGATTTTAGGGGGTCTTCTCTGATCTCACCAGGAGCCAGGAGCTCACCCGGGTCTTCCACATGGGTGGCAGGAGCCCAGGTATTTGAGCCATCCCCTGCTGCTTTCCCAGGCACATCAGCAGGGAGCTGGATGGGAAGTGGAGGTTCCAAGACTTGAACCCACACCGCAATACAGGACACGGCTCAAACCAGATGCACCACAAACACCTGCTGCGTAGACTGATCTTTAAATTCTATCTTGAAATTTCTGAAGAACCCTCATGTAGGGGTTAGTATCTAACAACGGGTAAAGGTTGAACATCCCTAACCCTAACATTCAAAACATGAAATGCTCCAAAATTCAAATCTTTGTGAGCACTGACGTGTGACCCCCCAAGTGCAAGATTCACTTGACAGGGCCAGCTCTGTGGCCTAGTAGGCTAAGCCTCCACCTGTGGCACGAGCATCCCATGTGGGCACAGGTTCGAGTCCCGGCTGTGCCACTTCCGATCCAGCTCTCTGCTATGGCCTGAGAAAGCAGCAGAAGATGGCCCAAGGCCTTGGGCCCCTGTACCCACGTAGGTGACCCAGAAGAAGCACCTGGCTCCTGGCTTTGCATCGGCGCAGCCCCGGCCATTTTGGCCATCTGGGGAGTGAACCAGCAGATGGAAGACCTTTATCTCTGCCTCTCCCTCTCTCTATCTATAACTCTACCTCTGAAATAACTAAATAAAATGTTTCAAAAAATTAAAAAAAAAAAAAAAAGATTCCCTTGATTTCATGGGGCAGGTCCCAGTCAAAAATGCAGGTACCTTGAAAATATTGCATCAAATCACCTTCAGCCTATAACAGAAGGGGTCAAATGCAAATGAACTCCAGGTGCACAGATCTTCCCTAAGCTCTCTCATGCATATGCAAATGTCCCCAACTCTGAAAACAAACCAAAAAAAAAAAAAAAAATTCCAAAAGCCAAACACTAGTGCTCTGGGGCATTTCAGTTGAAGGAGAGCCCACCTGGAGTTCGCCTGGTAACAGTTTTTGCTGCCTTTGGTCTTGCAAACCCAGGGAAAGGAGTGGGAGTTCCCGGAATTCAGGCTGAGTAACTAAGTAAAGAGCCAGTTTACAAAAGCTGGGGAAATCTCCTTGTTTCCCCAGCTCAGCCGTTCAGCCCCTTCCTACAACCCACTTCCGGGCTGGCTTCCCCTTTGCTCTCAGTGTCCAGGCTACAGTGGGTTCCCTGTTCTGCTACCGGCCCCGCAGCAGCAAAGACACTGAACTTGGACCTTGAAAGGGCTTTCTCACTAAAGACCACCGCAAAGAGAAAGCGAATAAATGCACAACACCGAACCCAGAGCCAACGATTGTGGGCCACACTCTGAAATGCAAGAGGGCAAATTTCATGCTTTGGTGTTCTGGCCACGCTCAGAAGAAGCTAAAGGAAGACAGAAATGCAGCAGGTATCAGTCCCTGTGAGCAGCTGCTGTCTCCTCCTCCTCCCCACATTCAGCATCGCACTAGGCACAGTGCTTACTGTGGGTGGGGCCCCCAGCACCTGTGCGCAGGTGCACAGGGGCATCCGGGTCCAGCCTGGTGATCCGGGTGCTACAGAGCTTCACGGCTCAAGCATTACAAGAGCTAAAGGAGTCAGAGCATCGAGCAGTCCAGTGTGAAGTTTAAGCTCTCCAGGCTGGCTGGCTGGGCCTGACCGGATGTTCTCCACCCTGCACCCTGGGCCATGGGCACTTGCAGCAAGGTACCCCCAGCGCTGGGGTCAGGCCCCTGCCTTCCCAGCATGCACAGGGACTTCACAACGTGCACAGAGATAAAAGTCAGCAGACTCTGCTTCAAACAAACATCTAAAATCCGTGCACATGAGACACCCTCCAAACGTCCACGGAAAATGTATATCATGAAAAAAAAAACCTGCCTGACCTTTCCAAATTGATTTGCACCAGAATAAACTTCTCTTTTAATTCCCTTTTTCGGTGAACTTTTTGAAGGGGAAGAGACCGTGGGTCGATCTTTGTGTGTATGTCCAAGTGTGATGTTGTACACGAACAAAACTAAACAGATTCCGAACAAGAACTTTAAAAAGAGAGCCAAGCTAGTGCAATCATTCTAACCACATATCGACAGATTCTGTTTATTTTCCCTCGGTACCCTGTGCCGAAACACCAGAAAATCAAACAAGATGCTGTATCTGTATTGCACGGCTACAATGTCACGCTCCAAACACAGCTGCTTTGAGAGATTAGGAGCTGGACCAACCAGGTGAGCTGGCTATGTATACAGAAGCCACATGGTCAGGTTCAACTGGGATGCAAATGGGAGGGCTGACTTTGCCTGATTCTATCTGATTCTGTCTCTTTCCATAAGAAGTGCAAAGGTGAGATTGCCCAAAGTTCTCAGGAATAAGTTCCACACCTTCCACATACAGACCGAAAATGCAGGGTGGGAAGAAGAGAGTTTATAACCACAAACACCATAAAAAAAAAGCCACTTCATAAAAAAGCAGTTTGCATTTGCTGACAATTGCTTGCTGCAAACATTACCCAGGGGCACACATGCTAGGATTTCCTAGGCAAACACTCTGCTGAGATTCCAGGACACATGTCTGTCTACAGCATTGCAAAACGCTTTGCTGGCCCCTCTGCCAGGAAGAGGGAAGGATTTTCCATCTTGCAGACCATAAATAGTCTGTCTCTCAAAGTGGCTCCAGGAAAAGGGGGTGGAACACCCTAAATCTGCCCTCCGGACTGTTGCCAAGACATGACGAAACGCCTCCCGCAGAGAACGTGTCGTAAGCATCAGGGCTCTCTCTGCTCTGCTGAGACTTTGGGTCCAGAAACCAGAAACCAAACCTTTTTTTTTTTTTTAACCCCACTGCAATTCAGTTCAGGGCAACACACATTGGCTGGACTGAGGGTCCTCATTGGGCTGAGAGCCACGCTGGACCTAGTCACCCTCTCTCTCTGACACCTGCAGCAGAGAGGAGGAAAGGAAAGGGGGCGGGGCAGCTTCCTGGGGCAGCGGCCTGGGGTCCCCAGCGAGCGACACCCATTCTCCTTCCCAGAACCTACTGGGGACTCCCTCAAATCCGTTAACGACGCAGATGCATTTAGCTGAGAGGGGCCCACAGAAGCCCACGGGAGGCCACAGCACTCAGTGGCCATGTGCTCAGTATTCATTTGCCACAGGAACCAGCCATTTGCCCTCCCAGTGTGAACGCGAGGCAAAATCCATCATTACTATGCCCGGGGCCGCACAGCTCGGAGGGATGCAGGGAAGGCTTTTTGGATTTTGTTTGTTTGGTTTTAGTTTTTGCTTCACAGACAATTAATAAATATGTTAGCTGTTTTCTCTTCCTGTATGATCTGTGTTCACTACTTCAGGTTTATTACAGAATCTCATGGATTAAAGAGAAGCCTTTTGAAATTAAAAAGATTTTTAAGTTTTTTTTTAAATGTTTCAATTTAAAAAATTTAAAAAGGATTTTTAAATGAAAGAAGAATTTTAAAAAGATAGGCCTTTTGAATCAGTCCTCGATGAATATAAACGACCTTGATAATTCAGAGGGCCATGGGAGCCAAGCCTTGTGGTATCAGCTCAGTCAGTAGTATATTTTAATACCATATCAGTCGTATTTAAAAGCCACTTAGGAGTGGGAGCGAAGGCTTAGAAACAGGGCCCACAACTGGGATGGGTCAGCAGTTGAGTAATTTTGGGCATTTTATTTGAATCCCTTCAAGTGTATTTCTCTTTTTGTAAAATGAGAACAGTAACAACAGCAGTGTCTACCTTCCGCGACAGTACTGGCCGATGACAACAACAGGGCAGCTGTGACGAGCGGATGGCACGGGCCCAGTGGGACGCAAACAACAGGGACGCCATCATTGCTCCATCTGCTGGTTCACCCCCCAGGTGCTGGGCTGGGCCACGGCCCACAGCCAGAAGCTCATTCGTTTCCCCCACGTTGTGGGCAAGAACCCAGCTACCTGGAGTCCGGAGCAGGGACACACAGCACACCCAGGCACTCTGCACATGGCATCCCAGCCTTCACTGCTAAACACCCCGCCTGAAACCCAAAGCCTCCAGGGCCCCGACAGGAGGTCCAAGACGTCTCAAAGCTTGGAGCATTTCACATTCTGCCTTTTTTGGATCAGGGAAGCTTCACGAACACCATGCCAAGGGCTGAGTTAAACAGATCACAACACACACGATACTGCCGCCATTGCCATAGATTATAAAGAACATGGGAAAAATGAAAAAAAAAAAAAAGAAGAAGAAGCAGCACTAACCTTAGTGCTTGGTCATTAAGTTTGTTCGAAAGATAAAAACGATTTAATAAAACGTTTCCACCCCCTTCTTTTGCTATTCTTTCCCATGGTAATTCTAGAATATTCTTTCTTTTTTTTTTTTTAACTCTTAATCAGATACCCGCCACTTTCTCATGGATGTCATTTTACCTCTGTCCCCCGAAGATCCTTAGGGAAATAGATGTCTTCAGTCATTTGGACACTGAGGCCAAAATCCACCAAAACGGCTTTTGTGGACATGAAAACAATGTTGCTGGCTGCAATGAGAGAGAAATTTTTCATCCGAGGTCATCTATGTACCCATATATAAAATGCACACATGTTATCCAAATGACGAGTCCAAATTGGCACCGGTTGAAATAGTCTGTATTCCAAATAGGAGGATGTATTTGGCTGAGAATTTAGGTGATCTGTTAAGAATTCAGCCAGGGGTTGGTACTGTGGCTGAGCAGACTAAGCAGGCTAAGCCTCCACCTGCAGTGCCAGAATCCTATTTGGGCACTGGTTCATGTCCCAGCTGCTCCACTTCCAATCCAGCTCTCTGCTATGGCCTGGGAAGGCAGTAGAAGATGGCCCAAGTGCTTAGGTCCCTGCACCTGCATGGGAGACCCAGAGGAAGCTCCTGGCTCCTGGCTTAGGATCGGCGCAGCTCTGGCTGTTGTGGCCAACTGGGGAGTGAACCAGTGGATGGAAGACCTCTCTCTGTCTCTCTCTCTCCCTCTACCTGTCTGTAACTTTGCCTCTTAAATAAATAAATAAATCTTTAAAAAAATGATTAAGCCAAAGGGGTTAAAAATGATTGTAGCCTTGCAGGGTTCTGAAAAAGCTTCTGTTTTAAATCTCAGGCATAGGCATGCTACTGCTCTCAAGCCACTCCGCTAAGGTAAAATGCCCGCTTTAGAAAAAAAAATGACTTACTTATTTGAAAGGCAGAGAGGCAGAGGGTGAGAGAGAGTTCTCCCATCCACTGGTTTACTCCCCAGCTGCTCACAACAGCCAGGGCTGGGCCAGGCTGAAACTGGGAGCCAGGAGCTCCATCCAGGTTTCCCACTGGGTGGCAGAGACCCAGCCAGCTGAGTCACCCTCTGCTACCTCCACATTAGCAGGAAGCTAGACGGGAAGCAGTACTGGGACTCAAATCCTGGGACTCTGACATGACCTGGGATGCAGGTGTCCCAAGTAGACTTCACCCTGGAGCCAAATGCCCTCCCCAGACACACATCGTTTTCCCCAGTGAAAGTTGTGTGCATCCAATTTAGCTCTGGGTATGGAAGAAGGCTGAGAGTGGGCATCTCCTCCTCACAGCCCATCCTTAGTGAAGTCTTGATTGACAGCTGCTTATCCAACCAGTGTGCGAAACTGAAAAGCCCTATGCTTCCCAAAAACACATGGCTGAGGGGCTGGCATCACGGCACGGTGGGTTAAACCACCGCTTGCAGCACCGGATCCTACACAGGAGTCCTAGTTCAAGTCCCAGCTGCTCCACGTCTGATCCAGCTCCCAGCTACCGCACCTGAGAAAGCAGCCGAGATGGCCCAAGTGCTTGGACCCCTACACCCACGTGGGGGGCCCAGATGGGAGCTCAGGGCTCCTGGCTTTGGCCTGCCCCAGCCCTGGCCATTGCAGCCACTTGGAGAATAAACCAGTAGGTAGAAGCTGTTTGTGTCTGTCTCTCCCTCTCTGTCACTCAGCCTTTTGAATAAATAAAATAAATCTTAAAAAAAAATACATGACATTATGTGTGTGAGAGTGTGTGGGTGTGTGTGTGTGTAAGTGAACCACCAAGTTACAAGCCTTGTTAACAGGCCCAGGCACAGGCTAACAGGTGCATGGCCAGAACCTTCCGACATACAGCTGCGATGGGACCAGCGTTTCTTGGTGACCCAGGAAGCCCAGGCATTCTGAGCACTGGCTCAGGGGTGCAGAGAAGGCAGGGGAAGCGTTCCCCCATGCTGCTGGGGAGCTGCAGGGGGCAGGCAGGGCCCACCCACCCCTGCCTCACTGAGGCTCTCTGAGCAGAACGGAGACCCCAGAAGAGACTCACGTTTGATATCGTGGTGAATCACCCTCTTCGAGTGCAGGAAATCCAGCCCCTTGAGAACGTGCTTGGTCACCCAGATAATTTCAAACTCTCGCATGGGGCCACAGCTCTCCAGCTTCTCCAGGACGGAGCCTCCCTCGCCGGCCTCCATGAACAGGTGCACGGTCTCGTCCCACAGGACGGCGCCGTACAACTCGGCGATGTTCTCGTGCCGGAAGCACGCTTGGATCTCCACGTCGGACGGCTTAAACTGATCCACGGGGATCTGGAAGGCCAAAGCGCCAGCAAGATTTCAACCACGTGCCGGATACAGGTCAACCCACCAACCGGAAGCCCACACATGCCCTCAAGTCTTCTCCGGGTGAAACCAAGTTCGCTTCCTATCTGTCAGCAAGAAAGCACCTCTTTAGGCGTAAGCAGCTTTGGACCTGTCTCCGAAACACGGTGCTAGCTAAAAAGGTAGTGAGATGCCCAAGAGCGTACCTTAATTTCCCATTTATGGGAAATGTTTAGCCTGTCCGTTCCTATCTGCACAGACGTTCCCATGAAGAACATACTAAGAACCCACCAAGAGCAATCGGCTCAGAGCATAGGGGTTTTATGCTTCAGGTAACACTTCTTTTGAGGCTTTTGGGGGGTTTTTGATCATCTCTGTGTGTTTCAGTCTTAAGACAAGGACAGTTTCAAAATTAAATGTTAGTACTGTAAGGAAAACCACCCACACAACTATTTTCCCATGCTTTTTGTGACTTGCTGAGAAACGACTCAGCAGTTCTAACATCTTGAAAAATCTGCAGACCTTTCTCAGCGCACCTTAAACACAAACCCCTCTCAACGCAAGCTTCAACCCGCTGGCTACAAGTCTTCTACGTTCAGATACCCCTGCCAAAGTGCTAAGCTCATTTAATGACGATAACAAGGACTGGGACGTAACATTCAGCAATCATTATTATCTTTAAAATTATTTGAGCAGTACAGAGAGAGAGCGAGCTAGCCGGTGAGTTTCCTGGTTCATTTTCCAAATGCCTGCGACAGCCAGGGCTGGCTGGGAGCTGGGGACTCGATCCAGGTCACGGGCGTCGGGGGCAAGAACCCACTAACTTGAGCCATCCCCACTGCCTGCCAGGGTCTCCATAAGCGAGAAGCTGGAGTGTGGAGCTGGCCCTGGGTATGGAACCCAGGCACTCTGATAGGGGACATGGGTGTCCTGGCTGTGCCTTACCACCTAGACCAAACATCCACTCCTTTATTCTATTTTTTGAAACTGAAAAGTGAGTGCACTTCGATTAATTCTTTGTTAGAAGTCCAGTCTCTTCTCTCCCGACCTGTCTTTCCTATTTCTCTTATATAAACGGAATGTCACCAAGCAGATCTGCCTCTGGGTCTGGCTCAACACCACGGTCCTGAGACTCACGGATATTATGGTTGTCACGCGTGGATTCTCGTTGCCGCCCAGTGTTCCCCTGTATAAACACCTGGGAAGTTTCCAGCTTGGGACGCCCAGCTAACAGTGCCGACCTGAACAGCCTAGCGCCCAGCTTTCAGCTTGCAGTGAGCATGAGCGCACGGGCCACGCCCTGCCGAGTGTACCTACGGACCTGGACCTGTTGGGTCACAGGGTGCGTGAGCACCCAGCACGGGAGGGGGGGTGAGCTGCCCAAGAACTGCAATGTGGCAGCACCCCAGGTGCTACTGTCTAATCAGGACAGGTGAGTTCTTAGTCATTGCTGGTTTTCGACTCAGCCCTTTCAATCCGCAGTCCCGAGAAGCTTTCTGTTATCCCAGCTTCTGCTCCTCTGCCCGGGCCCCCTCCCTACAGGGGAGGAAGAATGAAGCTACTCTTGGGGTGCAGGTGTGAACACCGAGCCTCGGCCCCCCTCCACTCAAAGGCAAAGACGTCATCCAAGCTGGGGCGCTTTCCTCTAACCAGATAGAATTCCACAGCGCACCAAAGCAGAGATCTGAGGGCTGAATGTGCCCCTAGGAAATCCAGAAACACAAACATATCTCAGGGCACAGCCGGTAAAGCCATCACCTGGCAACACCATCATCCCATGTGAGAGCAGGTTAGAGTCCCGGCTGCTTCACTTCCAATCCAGCTCCCTGGTAACATGCTTAGGACAAACAGCGAAGATGGCCCCTGCACCCAGATGGGAGACCTGGATGAATCTCCTGGCTCCTGGGTTTGGCCTGGCTCAGACCTGGTCATTGTGGCCATCTAAGAAGCGAACTAATAGATGCAAGATATCTCTCTCTCTCTCTCTCTTTCTGTGTCTCCCCCTTTGACTTTCAAATAAACAAATAAATCCTTAAAAAGAAATGTGCTGGGCAGAGCACCCTTGGAAAGCAGGATCCCCTCAAATGGTCGGAACTTCCGATGCCTGCAAATGAACCCGCTGAAGCCAGAAAGGCGAACACGCCCGGGGAGCTCCCGCTGAGAAAGCACGCACCAGTTTACACGCCATTCTCTTCTTCGTCTTGATATCCTGGGCGAGGTACACTTTGCCGAAGGCCCCGCGAGGAATGAAATCAGAGCCGATGTTCCTGTAAGTCAGCTTCCAGGGGACAAGGAGCACGTCAGAGTCGATCTGGTACCGGCCGTTCTGGGGGGTGATGACCTGGGGCAGAAGGAGGGGCAGGAGTGAGGATTGCGGGCGGAGCAGGCCTTGCTGTAGATAAGCGGCCGGAGATAAGCTGGAAGTGCTGGATGGTGTTTGCAGTTCACGGGGCAGCGTGCCAGCCTCGCTAGGCAGAGACTATATTTAGAACTTGAGCAAGACAGAGAAAGCATGAAACAGACACATATCCCCGGTCAGGCCCGGTGAGCAATGAGTTGCCAAACAGAGCCTCCAACGCATTGTTTATGTAAAGCAGCATGACTCGTGTCATCAAACGGCTTAGAATAAAGATTGCAGAGCCACAAACCGTGCCTGTGCATGGACGCGCCCCTGTCTGAGTACGCGAACCTGTTTGCCGGCATGGCTGTTACTACTCCACGGTGCGCACAGAAACAGCATGGAAATTAACTGGCGATCACGGAGGGTTTGGGACGGCAACGTGTCGGGCCAGACTTACGAGCTGCCAATGCCACAGACATGACGTGAGGGCAGCATTACTCCTCATCCACTTACTCACTTCTTACTGTTCGCACGCATACTGGGTGCCAAGCCCCGCGTTTCCTGCTCAAGATACAGTCACGAGCTATGGAGATCAGTGACCCCTGACCTCCAAGAGGAAACGTCTAGAACCAAAGGTCTCCAAGCAAGTGGGCTAGGAAACTAAAAAAGCATTGTGGGTTCCCAGAGCAGGCGCGTTTGTCCAAACTCATCCACCTACACTGCAGATCTGTGCATTTCACTGCCAATAAAGTGTACAGGGAGTCTCTGGCTTACCGATGGCTCAACACAAGGATTTCTCCTATTTACGTTGGAGCAGAAGCCACGGGCTTCAGCACCAGCTGTGCTTTGATTCATGGGCTGGGGTCTTTTCCTGGGCGGTGGCAGCAAGTGCAACCCCCATTGGCTTCCACGGTCCTACAGAGACACAGAGCACACCTACTGTGTGCATGTGGCCAAGCTCTGATGTCCAGTAGGTCCGGTGGACTGAATGTGTTTTTGCCTTGAGACATGCTCCAGTTACAATGGGCCTGTTAGGACACGGCCCCGTCGTAAAATGCAGAGCATCTGCACATCTCAATTTTTACAGAAGAAGAAACTTCGAGGCAAAATAATTATAACTAAAATAAAAACATATTCGTGTGAGAATCCAGAGCAACTAGGGCCTGGAACCCATGCCTAAGAAATGTCTGCAGTGTTCTTTCAAACAAGCAGAAGCAGGTGCTGTGGCGTAGAGGGTTAAGGTGATGCCTAAGCTGCTGGCATCTCACATGAGTGCAGGTTCAAGTCCCGGCTGCTCCGCTTCCAATCCAGCTCCCTGCTAATGCGCCTGGGAAAGCAGCAGAAGATGGCCCAAGTGCTTGGGCCTGCACCCACGTGGGAGACCAGGAAGAAGCTCCTGGCTCCTGGCTTCAGCCTGACCTAGACCCAGCTGTTGTAGCCATTTGGTGAATGAACCAGTGGATGGAAGATTTCTCTCTCTCTCTCCCTCTCTCTCTATGTAACTCTGCCTTTTAAATAAAGAAGTAAATTTTTTTAAATCAGTTTCTCCTAAATTAGCTGGGTTCAGACTATGGATTGAAGAAATGTGAAATTCTCTTGGGACATTCAGTTATTTCAAGCACACGAGAAGCTGGAGGGGAATATGACAAATTCCCAAATCTACACATGGGAAAAGAACAGGCACCGGACTCATCCACAGATCCCGGGCGTTGCCAGGGGAATAAGGCCCTGGAACCGTAAGCGTCACTCATTCAGCCCCTATTACTGCTAATTTTAGCTGTGCACCTCACACACAGATCCGTGCCCTGTCAGAAAACGAGAAACTCTGTCCTTGGGAAGATAAAGTCACTCCATTTAAAATGTAAATGTTTCTAAATTTTTAAAAATTATTTCTAGTTATTTGAAAGAGAGACAGAGAGGGAAAGAGCTCCCCTCATCACTGGTTCACACCCTAAATGCCGCCGACAGCCAGGGATGGGCCAGGCCGAAGCCAGGAGCTCCATCTGGCATGTCCCTCTCTTCCATGTGGGAGACGGGGGCCCAAGTACTTGAGCCTCCCAGGGTATGCACAAGCTGGGAGCTGGCATCAGGAGCACAGCCAAGCTCTATAATTGACAACTATTTACTGAGGGCTTGATGCTGCGGTGCAAGGTCAAAGTCGAATTTGCCAGTGTCACCTCTGGGTGCTGCAGCCTCTCTGGGCAGCACGTGGAGCCCACGGCGAGGACAGCACCACCCTCACCACACCTGTCTATCACCTATTCTGTGCGTGTGCGACTCAGCTTCGTGAACATCTTCCTTATGCCCCACGGCGACCACCAGGGCCTCGGCTCTGACACACGACCCCAGGGACGTCTCTAGCAATCCTCTGGGGTTAGGGCTACCCATACACCCATTTCACAGATGTGGACGTGGATGGCCAGAGGTGCAGTCACCTGGCGGTCAGTGTCAGAGATGGGATTGGGACGCAGCTGTCTCTGATCCCAGAGCCACAGTGCCAAGCCCTGGTTCTGACCCTGCGGAAGACAGAGCTGGGCTCACAGCCCTACGATGAAGAGTTCCCATCTGCATGGCTCCAAGCACACCAAGCCCTCTCGCCAAGTCCCTCCAACCCTCCCCACACGTCCCACACTCCCTGCCCCAGCCGTCTCCCGAGCTACCTGGATGCTGGACACACATTGCATAGGGCCCAATGACTTAACACTCCTGCAAAGTCTGTTTTTCCCCTGCCCCAGACTTCCCCTAACTGGATTTGCAATGGGGCTCTCTTCTCTGCTTCCAACCAGGGGCTCCACCCGGCCCTCTTAGTGGACATCTCCACGCTGATGGTCACTACCAGTTCCTCAACATGCCAAAGCCAACTTCAAGTGCAGGCCCTGTAAGCATGGTGTCTGATTCCCCTGGTACTGGTGCTCGCTGTGTGTGAGCACTTCACGTGTCCCAACCAAGAGCCCGACGGGTAAATGCAAAGACGTCACCCATTTTCCTGATGAATAAGGTGAGGCGCAAGGTGGGGCGTGGGGATCACAGCAAATGCATTTCAGAGCTGCTCACACCCCCAGGGTCCATGCCACTTCTCATCTTACCTTTGTTAAGGCAGAAGGTAGCACCGGGACCAAGGGAATCAAAGAGGGATTTTAATCCTACCTAAGCAAGAGTGTTCCAACGAACGTGATGAGCACCTCGTCAGATTTCCAAGCCCAGAACAAAACCCTCCTCCAATGACCAGGGATGATGGTGGGGTGAGTCACGCGTCAGCCAAGGGGGCTGGACTCACTTCTCTTCCAGGGGTTTTCCAGCCCCGAGGAGCCTGACTCTGCCACCAAGCCCCGAGGAACCACGTGCGGCATCTCCCCCCCCCCCACACACCAAGTCTGTGCGTGGATGCACCTGTGCCCCGCAGCTGCCTGCACCGCCCACCTCCCAGCAAGGCGAGGACCTGGAACCCAGATCGAGGCGTGAGTCGGCCTCCATCACAAACAACCTGCAGTGTTCTGACACTCACCGATCCTACACTTGCCTGCTTTTAACGTCTTCCCCCCAGGCCTTGCAGGGTTGCCAGTGGAATCTTCAACCAGTGTTATCTTTAGGGAGACGGAGCACACTCACACCCAGATACACAGAAACTGCCACTCTGTCACCTCTGCCAGCGCTGTGGCTGTTGGCTGCCTGGGCACACTGAGACTTAATGGCCCCCACCACCACCACTGCCCCGGGGCCTTTGCACATGCTGCTGTCTTCATCTGGGACCCTCCCCCCTCAGTTGTCTGGCCGACTCCAGCTCCACGCTGTAGACCTGAGCTTGCACATCCTGCCGTCTGCACTGGTGTGCTCCCCCACTCCCTACTCATGGCTGGATGCGACGTCCCAGAGAGGTCCGAGTAGCACTGGCAAGTAGCACAAGGTGCTGTGACTGCCTGCGCGGGCACCAAGCTCCCAGGGGTGCTGTACCTGCTCAGCACTGTAGCTCTAGCACCTGGCAAAGCACCAGAGGATGCCCCAGCTATGTCTAGCAAACATGCAGGTGAACATGGGATTCAGGGTCCTTCATCCCTAAGCAGATGTATTTTAGAGCCGAATTTGACCTTGGACTCCTTGTCTCTTGTGTGGTTGCTAAGCAGCTGGCATTTCCCAAAGCAGAGAGACAAGGCAGCAAACGAAGCCCAGAACAGTGGTGACAGGGCAGTAGGGGGCAGAGGGTGACGGTGAGGGAAAGGTCTCGAATGCAGGACAGGTCCCAGGAGGGCAGCCTGGAGGAGGGAGCAAGGACAGAGGATGAAGCCTGTCTCAGACAGGCTGAGCTCAGAGGGCAGTCCCAAGAGCTGCAGCCTTCTCCACGGAGCTCAGAGCTGCAGGTGGCAGGGCCAGATCTGACCTTGAACGTCAACCCCCAGAGCCATCAGTAGTCAATCCGTAGTGAGGCTGGGGGTATCCTCCTGTGGTTGTTTTTACAAACCCACGTTAGAAGCAGAGACCTGGCCGGCGCCGCGGCTCAATAGGCTAATCCTCCGCCTAGCGGCGCCGGCACACCAGGTTCTAGTCCCGGTCGGGGCGCCGGATTCTGTCTCGGTTGCCCCTCTTCCAGGCCAGCCCTCTGCTGTGGCCAGGGAGTGCAGTGGAGGATGGCCCAGGTGCTTGGGCCCTGCACCCCATGGGAGACCAGGAAAAGCACCTGGCTCCTGGCTCCTGCCATCGGATCAGCGCGGTGCGCCGGCCGCAGCGCGCCGGCCGCGGCGGCCATTGGAGGGTGAACCAACGGCAAAGGAAGACCTTTCTCTCTGTCTCTCTCTCTCACTGTCCACTCTGCCTGTCAAAAAAAAAAAAAAAAAAAAAAAGAAGCAGAGACCTTTCACCCACTGGTTCACTCCACAAGTGCCCACAACAGCCAGCGCGGGGCCCAGGCAGAAGCCAGGAGCTGGGACCTCCATCCATGCCTCCCGTGTGAGTGGCAGGGACCCCAACTACTTGAGGCCTCACTGCTGCACTGGCAGGGTCTACACTGGAGGGTCTACACTGGCAGGGTCTACACTGGCAGGATGCTGGAGACAGGAGCCAGAGGCAGGCACTGCCCTAGCCCCTGGGTGTCCCCAACCACCTGGCCAAGCACCTGCCCCCATGCCCTCTTCTTATCCCATGCTGATTTTTTCTCTTCTTACTTTAATAAATGAGAGCTTTCAAAGAGTTCATGGGAAACATGTATTACAGGAAAAAAAAAAAGTATGCTTGGATTTCAGGCTTTTTTTTTTTTTTTTGCATCAAAAGAAACATATCTTTAATTCTCCATGAACTCTCTGAGGTAGTCTTATAGTTTATAATCTTGGTCATTTAAAAAAAAATTTTATTTATTTATTTGAGAGGTAGAGTTATAGACAGTGAGAGGGAGACACAGAGACAAAGGTCTTCCATCCACTGGTTCACTCCCTAATTGGCCACAATGGCCGGAGCTGTACCGATCCGAAGCCAGGAGCCAGTAGCTTCTTCCGGGTCTCCCACGAAGGTGCAGGGCCCAAGGACTTGGGCCATCTTCTACTGCTTTCCCAGGCCACAGCAGAGAGCTGGATCGGAAGAGGAGCAGCTGGGACTAGAACTGGCGCCCATACAGGATGCCGGCGCTGCAGGCAGAGGATTAACCTGCTGCACCAAGGCGCCAGCCTTCTTGGTCATTTTTAAAATGAAAATAGTTTGGAAGCTTTCACAATCCCTACCTTTCTGCAAGTCCTGTGCTTAATTTTTCTCCTGAACAGGGTGTATTTATTTGCAGAGCATGCCTCTGAGGCAGGGGTGGCGACACGGGACTCTTACTCTGGGCTGATAACACTGTCACAGCGTAAGCTGCTGCCTGGGACGTCCCCCTTCCTAGATCCAAGTGCCAGTTTGAGTCCCGGCTGCCCCACTTCCCACCCAGCTTCCTGCTAATGTGCACCCTGGGAGGCAGCAGCTGACAGCTCAAGTACTTGGGCCCCTGCCCACCCACGTGGGAGACCTGGATGGAGCTCCTGGCTTTGGCCTGGCCCAGCGCCAGCTGTTGTTAACAGTTGGGGAGTGAACAGCACAGCTCTGGCCATTGCAGTAATCTTGTGGGATGAATCAGCAGGTGGAAGACCTCTCTCTCTCTCTCTCTCTCTCTCTCTCTGCCCCTCTGTAATTCTGCCTTTAAAATAAATGGGTAAATCTTAAAAAAAAAAAAAGATAATTTTCTCTCTGTCTCCCTCTGCCTTTTTAGTAGAGGGGGAAAAAAAGTAATAAGAAATCTACATTTAAAAAAAATCTTCTAACAGCAATTCCTAAGTGTTCTTTCAGTTTTCCTGGATTGTCTCAGTAAAGGGTTAAAGCCCGTTTCTCATCAGTTCAATGAGCCGGGGACAGACCGTACTCACCTAATTCCCTACACACTTCCCAGCAAGAATCACATCGGCTCTGCCTGCTCTCCTTCTCACAAATACTGTTAATAAACAGAGAAATGCATAAAGCACTGCTCTTTTAAGAATTTTCTGGCTTTACTTTAGCTGAGAAAAAGTAGGGATTACTCCAAGTTCCAATTATGCTTCCCATTTATTCTAGGAAGTTCAGATTCTGAATGTAAAAAACACCTCATGCATTATTAAACAGCATGGTCTCTCCAGACCAAAGGAAACATTGTAGGATCCAGCAAAAACCTAAGGCAACCGGCTTCTGGCAAAACCGTTCCCGACACAGCTGAGCTGAAGTACTCTGCTGACTGGCCCTCAGCGAAAGGTGCAAAAACAATACAACCAAGCCTGTGTCCAGCCCTCAGCTTCTGCCAGGGTGTGCCAGCTCACCATGCAGGTACTCCAGAAGAAAGGGAGTCCCTTCCACCCAGAAGCCCAAGTTGCCACCTTCTTCAGCCACTGTCCTTTGTCCACCATCAGGATGGCTTGAGCCTGCACCTGCCATTCACCTCTGACCCACTGAGGGCACACCCTGACACATCACCTAATCTCCTGCCGCAACAAAGCGAGCCCCAGATATTTGAGATTATTTGCATACCTGGAATGAGTAAGCCAAAACATCCCCTGTCATGCGGCCTTTGCCAATTACAGAGGGAGCAGATTTTTGCAAGAACTGAACTTCTTCAGCATGGTTAAGTGGAGACAAAACATTGACTCCCCCTCCTCCCAGCCAAGGGACGCTCATTAAGCCTTTCTCTTCCGCATACATCATGGGCAGGTCTATGCATTGTTACATTCAGACACATTCTTCCTAATTAACCTACTGGTAGCACTGCTACTTAAGTGGAAATTTTAATGCAGACTTTTTTTTTCTTTTTTTTTTTTTTTTTTTGCATCTTGAACATGCACACGCACCTGTTGGAAATCAGACCCCACAGCCAATCTCCACCAATTTCAACCTCACTCTGCTGTTGCAAAAGCTAAGCACACGGCACGCGCCCGAGCAGAAAACAACCTACCATATTTAACAGAATGCCAGCCTCCTGGGGGCGCCGTCCGTACAAACGCTTTGCCGAGTTGGATATGTGGTTTGCAAAAGCAAGCAAGTCCTCCACGGTTCCATATCTGACTGAGGACAGCCACGGCACCTCCTGGCCACTAAGCAGCAGTGAGTCCGCCCGCTCCTCGTTCTGATTGCTGTCCGGACACACGGTCATGAGGCTGGGTTCGTAAACCGGCGGCTCTTCGCTCCCGTAAAGATTCTCCATAATGTCTATGACGTCGGACATGTTTAAATGTTTGATCAGTAAGTCGAGTTCTTCTTTATCGTCACTTCCGGTGCTCATGAACTCCATTACTGGTGCACTTGCTGGGGAACCGAGAAAACACCAAGACTTAGTGGAGAGACCCACGGGGAACTGGCGTCTGTAAGCCTGTTTTATAAAGCAAGGGCTCTGTGTCAACACAGCACGCATGAATTTAAGTACAGAGACAGCGAAGAGTGCAGAGAGACCTCAGATAACCTTTCGCCCGGCTCGTTTTGCAAAAGCAGAAACCTGAGACGTGGAGAATGCACCTGCTGCTCCCGAGTTAGGAGCTCTACTGAACGTGAACCCCAATCGAAAGCCACTCAGGAATCTTTGCAGAACTGGGGCTCCCTGCTCCTCATGGCTTCCACCCTTGCCCACCACGGCTGCTCCCCAAAGTGCCACCCTTCCTGCAGCTTGAAAGAAAAAGAACTCGGGAACAAATGCGACCAATCAAGGCTCTGAGAGCCAAAAAGTAAGGAAGCAGCATACAGGAGGATGCTAGGTCAGGTCTCGGGAAAAAATCCCTACACAAATGACATACAAAAGCTGCTTACCCAGAGCCGGCACTATGGCACAGCGGGTAAAGCTGCTGCCTATGGTGCCAGCATCCCATATGCACCCTGGTTCGAGTCCTTGCTGCTCCACTTCTGATCCAGCTCCCTGCTAATGTGTCTGGGAAAGTGGAAGATGGCCCAAGTGCCTGGGCCCCTGCACTCATGTGGGAGACCCAGGTGGAGTTTCCGGCTCCTGGCTTCAGGTCAGTTCGGCTCTGGCTGTTGCAGCCAATTGGGGAGAAAACTAGCAAATGGAAGATCAACTCTCTGTCTCCCTCTCTCTTTCTGTAACTCTGCCTTTCAAATAAATCTAAGAAAAAAAAAACACACACACACACACACACAAAAAACCCAGCCCCCTGGAAGGAGACATAGAGCGCAAATCCCACTTCTGCCAGGGACAATGCATTTACCCATTGCTCCAGCTGTTCCCTCCTGGGATCAGAATTCTTTCACCGTACGAGGTACACATCTCGAGGGTTCCAGGAGGCTCACTTAACATCCAGACAGCTCTCTGGAAGCTGCTGCAGCAGCAGAAGGAGACCCAGAAACCCCAAATCTACCACAAGAAAGATGCAGGCAGAAACAAATGTGACTATGCAAGGGGTTTTTCTAAAGTTTATGGAAAAGACTCTATGATGAAAAAAAAAAGTGTATGTATTTCAAAATCTTCTTTGCCCCAAAACAAACTTAGTTTTTAAATTTTTTTTTAAGATTGATTTATTTGAAAGGCAGAGTTACAGGGAAAGAGAGAGAGAACGAGAGAGAGAGATCTTCCATTCACTGGTTCATTCCCCAAATGACCACAACAGCCAGAGCTGGGCCAGGCCGAAACCAGGAACCAAGAGCTTCACCCAGATCTCCCACATGGGTGCAGGGGCCCAAGCACTTGGGCCATGCTCTGCTGCTTTCCCAGGCCATGAGCAGAGAGCTGGATCAGAAGTGCAGCAACGGGGACTCGAACCGGAGTCACAGGCGGCCCTCACAACCCGCTACACCACAACACCAGCCCCCAAATAAACTTCGCTTTTAATTCCATTTTTTTTCTACAAACTTTCTGAAGCCCTCGTGTCAGCTAAAACTCTATTTCCGTTTTTTCAAAACAAATGAGGGGCCACCCTGGGGAAGCGGGGGATCTATGGGTGAGCAAAGGAAGGGACCGCAGAGGGAACACAGAACACTCAAAGGCGAAGAGATTAAAGGACCTCAGAGAACTCTGACACAGCACGTCCCATGCTTAACCAGTGGGCTCCCGAAAGACCGCACAGCGTCTGCTTAACTAAGCAAGTGCTATGGACCCAAGCCCTGGAGCCCGCCTCCCTCCCTCTCTCTCTCTCTCTCTCTCTCTGAAAAAGTATTTCAGGGCCAGTGTTGAAGAGTCCCATGCTGCCAAAGCCATGCACCACCAAGCACCTTGGAGCTTGAGTCGCAAGCACCAGGAAGCGGGGCCACGCCTGCCCCTGCTGTCCGCCTTCCAGGGAAATCTCATTCCAAAATGACCCATGCAACCCAGTGCCACCACCGTCAGACTGGACGGTCACTTTCTGATGCCTCCATTGCATGTCGGGTGTCCCACAGAAAAGACTCTGTTGACTGTCACAAGGCGAGGGTTCATACCACACACACACACACACACACACACACATCCAGTGACCACCTGCTGGAGGCCGGGCCAGTCTCTCAACCTCTGTGTGACCGCATCTGAGAAGTGGAACCAGTAACAGCACCTCGCTCTCGCGGGGCGGGTTTGAGGCTGGTTCACACGCACAAGGTGCAGGCTGCTTTGCTTTCCACGCATGAAGGAGCAGGACTGGGTCAGCCTTTTTCCACGTTCTGGGACAGCCTCCTTTCTGATCTGCAAATGGGGTGTGGCTGCCTATTCCCCCGGCTTCCTCCACACCAAGCTTTCAAAGACTCTCTCTAAAACTGGGGACAGACAGAGCAGAAGGGCTTCTTTGATAGCTGTTATGACTGGAACGACATCTACAAACTCAAGGCGGCCCCTGGCACATCTCTGAGGGAGACTGAGTCACATTCTAGGCACCTGCCGTGCTAGGAAAAGAATTTCTTGGGTGGAATAGGGTGGGGGCTTGGGGAGGGGACATCTGTCTTGGGTTTCACCAGGCTGTTTAGTTGCGGTTTCTGTTTGTAGAATGAACTAGAATCGACTGGGGGAAAAAAAAAAAACAGAAGTAAAAACAGAGCGCGGGGCGGGGGTGGGGGGCTGGCTGGAAGGATGGAAGGCTCTCAGCATGACTTCTCAGATGGGTGATGTGACAGCAGATACAGCCCCCAGGACTCGCAGGTCTCAAGGAGGACGGCCAGACCCATGCCCGGAGGGATGGCTCAAGAGATGCCGGTTTAGCAATCAAGCCGTCTGGTCTAAGATAATGGGTGGTGGGGCACAGTACACAGCAGGAAGCCTCGCCAAACGCCTACCTCCCAACAGAACAGAAGATTTCATCCCGCCTGGAGATTGGCAGAGAGTCGGGATGATCCGCTGCCGGGTATTTGGCGATTCAGCCATGCCCAGCAAGAGAAAAAAATGCTCTTCCTATCCAATCATGCGAGACTTCGGGGCGACTCCAGATGTCTCCACTACCCCAGCCTCCCAGCAAAGTCCTTAAAAGTCAAAGCAAGGGAGCCCCCAAAGAGCTGGAGTTCCCCCCCACCCCGACGGCAAAGCATCGCGTGTGTAGCCACAGCGGCTTCCATCCAGGACCTGTCTCTCTCACCCCCTACTGCCCTCCGTCCTGGGCCTGCATGGGAACACGGCAGCCGGGTCCCCTCCGCCTCCAAAGTGCACTCACCGCGTCCAGGCAGGCCGGGGGAGCAGCCGTGCGCCACGGGACGCGCGCTCCCCGCCGGCCCCTGCTTCCCCGCGCTCAGCTCACACTCGCAACTGGCCCCGGCGCCGGGGATCCGGGAAACAGGAGGAAAGGGGAGGAGCCCCCTTGCGCAAGGTGCTTTCCAGTCGTGCCAGGCTGCAGCCGGTGACCTGCGCGAGGGACGGACGCCCCCGCCTCTCCACGCCCCTGCCCTAGGTCTCCCCCACTGCTGGGAGAGCCCCCGGCGCGCCCTAGAGGGGCGTGACCCCAAAGCCACCCCGAACCCACCGGAGGCTAGTTACCTGCGGCCTCGGCGCGCGCCCGCGGGCCAGGCGCGTCCCCCGCAGACCCCCGACGGCTCGGTGCGCGGCGCGTGGCCGGTCCTGGCAGCGCGGCGCCGGGCTCCAGCGCGTGGCGCGGCGGCCGGGCCGGAGCAGGCAAGTGCGCTCTGGGCGCCTGACTCACCGCGTCTGAGCCGGCCCAGGGGCGGCGCAGCGGACAGCGGCCGCCGCCTCCCCGCCTTTTCCATTTCCCCTTTCTCTTCGTAAACAGAACGAGCCCGCCCGCTCGCTGGGGAAGCCGAAGCACCAGCGCCGGGAAATTCCGTGCTCCCCCCCTCTGCCCGGCACCGTGGGCCCGCGGGGAGGAGCTGGGGGCGGGGCGCAACGTCGGGGACCCGCCTCGCTCGCCGGGGATCCGCACGGACCGGGGAGCGCGAACGGCGGAGCCGGGCAGGACAGCCCCGGAGAGACCTGGCCTTGCCCGGCGCGCGCGTGCGCGGGCATCCTAGGCCCCGGGAACATCCTGGGCGGGGCACGGAGGCGCCCAGGCGCGTTTGTAGCCTTCCGGACCTGCGCGCCGACCGGGTTTGGGTTCTGAGGCTCGCGCGTCTTCTGAGAAGGAGAAAGGGTGCTGCCGACTCGGGACGGGGCTGGGGGAGAGGGGGAAGGGGCGGGGTTGGCGTCTGGAGGGGCCCCTGGACTTGGCCGGCGCAAGCTGCTTTTGCGCTTTGCAGTGTGCAGTGAGTGGAGCCGGCGTGTGGCACTACCCTGCAAGCACCGGGCACCTGCGCCAGTCTTCGGGCACCTGGAGCCCCCCCCCCCCCGGGGGGGGGGGGTGCTGCGCACCTGGCACTTCTCTGCAGCGCGTACCCCAGGCGCGGTTTCAAGAGAGATCTGGGGAGGAGGCGCGTCACTCCAGGTATCTGCGTGGCCGCACCTGCCCGACCGCCCCGGCCCGAGCTCGCTCATCCTGGCTCTGTCGTGCCAAAAAGCCGCGTAGGACCCAGTGCAAAACGGGTTCCTTCCAGGGTGGTCGCAGGAGAATTGCTGGCAGCCCCAGCACGCAGGGGAGTGCTGTGACAGAAGCAGCGAGGGACTTGTGCGCATCCAGGGGCGCGGGGCGTGGGGGCAGCTTGTGCCTTCGGGGCCTGGAGCGAGGCGGTGCGGTTGGCCGGGGAGGAGAAGCCGCGCCGACCCCGCACCGCCACGCTGGCCCGGGCCCAGGCGTCAATGATCCCAGTCCCTGCAGAAACCGGACTCGCAGCGCGAGAGAAGGCCCTCCCTCTTCGTTTTCGGACAACATCGGAAGCGTTTTAAAAATACAGCGACGGAACGCCCGCACCCTGGAATGAGCTCATGAAAAGCCACACCCAATTTGGGAACGAAATATTCGGTCTGACCGAGCTGAGAACTGATGGAGGTAGAACCTGCAGGGTTCTCAGGCGAGCCCTGTTTATGCACCGAGCAAAAGCCACCTGGAGCGCAGTGAGTTATTGGGGTGCCTCTGAGAGTGGGCTCAGCCGTGGAGCTTAGTCCAGAAGTCATTCTGAAGGACATCACGTGTTCAGCCCCGTCAAGCAGCTCACAGCCCATATCCGGCATCTGGGTTAGACGTTCCTCCTGCGCCCAAGGCCAGCTGCCTGCCAATGCAGACCCTTGCGGAGCAGTGCAGATGGCTCAGGTGCACCTGCCGGGCACCTGGACAACCTGGATGGAGCTCCCAGCTCTTGGCTTCAACCTGGCCTAATTCTGGCATCTGGGGAGTGAGCCAAGGAGTGGAAGCACACTCTCTCTCTCTCTCTCTCTCTCTCTCTTTCTCTCTCTCTCTTTCTCTCTCTCTCTCTCTCTCTCTCTCTCTCTCTGTGTGCCTTTATCTGTCTCTCTGCTTCTCAGAAATGTAAACACACTTCATCAATCTCATGGAAAACATTTTTGTTCAAAAAAAAAAGTGCACCACAAGCCGCTCTCTAGAAGCTGTTTGGAGCCAGCAAAATACACTTGCAAATTGTGTTGCAATCCTTCTCTCTTTGCCCAAGAGACTCTGTCCACTCCTAGGGTGACTCAATAATGGGCTTGTTAGCTGAGTTTGGAAATCCAGACAGATATCAGCATTCACAAGGGGTAGGCAGACTTCCTCAGCCTATTCTGCTATGGAATCGCAAAGCTTCACACACATTAAGGAAAGGTGAGACACTTTTTTCCAGCCTTCTTCATATTTGCAAAAGAGGGAATCCTGGAATAAATCGGGGAATTCCTAGAAGCCACTTCAAAATGTCTATGGCAACATGAAAAACCTTTGCATGGATTTCAAAATTTTTTTTTTTTTTTTTGACAGGCAGAGTGGACAGTGAGAGAGAGAGACAGAGAGAAAGGTCTTCCTTTGCCGTTAGTTCACCCTCCAATGGCCACCGCGGCCGGCGCGGTGCGCCGGCGCACCATGCTGATCCGATGGCAGGAGCCAGGAGCCAGGTGCTTTTCCTGGTCTCCCGTGGGGTGCAGGGCCCAAGCACCTGGGCCATCCTCCACTGCACTCCCTGGCCACAGCAGAGAGCTGGCCTGGAAGAGGGGCAATCGGGACAGAATCCGGCGCCCCAACCGGGACTAGAACCCGGTGTGCCGGCGCCGCTAGGCGGAGGATTAGCCTAGTGAGCCGCGGCGCTGGCTCAAAATGTTTTACACTCAAATAAACTTCCCTTTTAATTCCATTTTCCATGAACTTTTTGAAGTTCTCTTATATATGTGGCTTGGGAAAAAGAAAAGTTCATTTTTCTTTTACAGGTTATCAAAGGGAGATAATTACATGCTGGCTTTGAGTGAACCTTTAAGTAAGATACTTGTGAAGAGGAACTTCCAGGAGCATGACTTTTTTCTGTATGGTTTTATGTTGAAACAACTATTCGCTAATCACAGTGTTTAAGTGATGATCTTGTCTCGCTTCTAATAAGACTCCTTGGATGAACAACTGTATAGCTATGTAGGTACTAAATGTGAAATTATTGGGGCCGGTGCTGTGGCACAGTGGGTAAAGCCACTGCCTGCAGTGCTGGCATCCCACATGGGCACTGGTTTGAGTCCCAGCTGCTCCACTTCCCATCCAGCTCTCTGTATGGCCTGGGAAAGCAGTAGAAGATGGCCCAAGTGCTTGGGCCCTGCACCCACATGGGAGACCTGGAAGAAGCTCCTGGCTCTTGGCTTCTGATCCATGCAGGAGTGAACCAGTGGATGGAGGACCTCTCTCTCTCTCTGCCTCTTCTCTCTCTGTGTAATGCTGATTTTCAAATAAATAAATAAATCTTTTTTAAAAAATGAAATTAACATTGTCTTTAAATCATTTATTTTATTTTTTAAAGATTTTTTTATTTATTTTTCTTGAAAGTCAGAGTTACAAGGGAGAGAAGGAGAGGCAGAGAGAGGTCTTCCATCTGATAGTGCACTTCCCAGATGGCCACAACGGCCGGAGCTACACCAATCTGAAGCCAGGTGCCAGGAGCTTCTTCCAGGTCTCCCACATGGGTGCAAGGGCCCAAGGACTTGGGCCATCTTTTACTGCTATCCCAGACCATGGCAGAGAGCAGGATCAGAAGTGAAGCAGCCGGGACTCGAACTGGTGCCCATATGGGATGCCAGCGCTTCAGGCCAGGGCGTTAACCCACTGTGCCACAGTGCCCGACCCTTTAAATCATTTAAGCGGTTAAAACTGCTTAAAAATCTGGTAGCTCTTATTCTCAAAAACAAACAAAAAATTATTTATTTGAAAGGCAGAGTTACAGAGACAAAGGGAGAGGCTGAGAGAGATCTTCTATCTACTGGTTCACTCCCCAAATGGCCACGATGGCCTAGGCTGGACCAGGGGAAAGCCAGGAGTCTGGCATTCCAGCCCTGGCTCCCACACAGGTGCAGGGAACCAAGCACTTGGGTCATCTTCCTCCACTTTCCCAGACTCATTAGCAGGAACCTGGATCGGAAGTGGAGCAGCTGGGACAGGAACCAGGGCTCCCATGGGGTGTCAGCGTCTCAGGCCACAGTTTAACCTGTGTCACAATGCCAGCCTTAGTTCTTTTTCTTTCGTTGCCATGTGTAAGTTTCCTAGGATAATGTGAATGGAGTTCAAATACAGTTGGCCTTTTTTGTGTGTTGTTTTAAAATGGCAAAGCTTTACAAGGCAAAAAAAAAATCATACTCACACTGTTTAAGCTGTTAGCTTGGACGCCATTAATAAGGCACATGAGCCCCAGGATGGAGTCTCCAGTGCAGGTGGAGAGACAGAAGTCCCTCCCCAGTGTGGGAATCTGCAGTGCCCAAGGCTTTGGCCACACCCCTCTGGTACTTGTACCTGAAACCTCCCTCCCCGAGCTGTGACCAGTCCCCAGTCCCAGTGTATCTTGCAGCTGCCGGCTGGGGGACCACTGCTCAGCCTAGCTTTGCGGGGGCACATCAGGGGTGTCCCCCAGATCTGCAAGAAACCGTGAGGTGCGTCGTTAGACTCTGCAAAGCAGCAGGTCCCGGAGCCTTAGGCAGGAAAGCCAGGGGCAGCTGCAATGTATTTCTGGCTCATCAGTGAGCGATGCCCTCAGCCCCGCCCAACCTCCCCAGGCCCTGGGGAGGGACACAGACACAGGTGGAAGGGGCAGTCTTTGCTGTCCCCTTCTTTCTTTTGAAACCTTGGCCAGGGAAATGGAGCCCCAGGCAGAGGTAGAATCTGCACGCGGGGGAAAGGGGAGAGAAGCCCCCGAAGCGCCTTGGGAAGGGCAGGGGAGTCCCTGCTGCCCTTGGCAGGTGCCTGTTGTTTGCAAAGCCAAAACTCAGGGCCCTCGAGTGCCTGCGTGAAGCTCCTCAGCAAGAGGTCTTAGATTTTTTTTTCTTTTTTTAATCATTGCTGGCTTGGTGTTGTGACTTCCCCAAAGCTGAGGTTCTCGAACCATACTTTGAAAACTGAAACCATTGCTCTCTGTTTCCCCTCGCACATGGAAACTCCTTGTGGAGTACTT